TATTTCAAAAAATCTTGATAAAATGTGCAATAAATAAATTTTAAACAAAAATAAAATAATGAAAAATTTTCTCCAACTTCGTATTCCACTAAATAAATTCATTAGAAAACTACACTGTTCGTAGATTTTCTTAAGAAAATCTCTCTGAATGAATAAAATAATGATATTTAAAATATTTTAAATAAATTTTAAAACTTTTTTTTATCATATATATTCAATATTGTTTAATGGCATCTTTTTTCTTTATACGTATTTATAACAGCATTATTAACTTATAAAATGCTAATTTCTTGTTTTGACTGAAAATTATTTTGGAAATAAAAGTTAATAAACACTATAGTTAACACATATATTGAATTTACCTTAGAAACAGTGTACAAATTATAATGGATTTTAATTTACATTATTTATGATTATTTCAAAAAATATTGGTATAAATTGCATAATTGATGGAATTACTCTATAAAAATCAAAAAACTTTGCTCTATCACTCAGGTTCCCTACTATTCATGGCAGGAAAAATCACAATAAAATATTATTATTTATACTTATTAAATTTATGAAGTTATACATTTTTACCTGTGTTTTGCAATATCAACTATTAATATTTTCTTGTAATACAAAACAAAAATGTCTTCATTAAATCTCTGATTAAAGGTGCGGTTAGAAACAGTCACTTTTGCTGTAAGATTAATACGCACGATCATTTTGATCATATACATAAATTGAATAGCATGTAATAACATAAAATTGTTTATTAGAGGTTTCAGAGTTCACAATCATTCACAATTGTATTTGTGTGAATTAATGCTATGTGAACTGCGAGATAAAAACGATTAATTTCAAATTACATACATACGATTGCAATAAATTTAATATGTACGAAAGGGATGGGCAGATTGATATGATGATTGATAATAGAAAAATATTATTATACAAATCGACTATTATCAGTTAACATACTGGCCAAACCTTTGAAACAAGCTTTCACTATGCCTACAGGGAGAGAAGATATCTTCTGATTATCAATTAATTTTTAGATTTAATTAATAATAGTAATAGTTTTTCTTAAGCATTGTTGCATCAAATTCAAATAATCAGTATTAGAAAAAAAAATTAAACTAGTTGGTATTGGTATTTTGCCTTGAGGCAAGTTACATGAACTTCCCGACATATGTAATTAATCGTCTTAATCAATAAAAATAAATTAATTTATTATGAGTGATTAAAAGTATTCCAAGTGGATTTACTACACATAATTGAAAACAAACGAACACGTTAATTGGGAGTATTTTCCAAAAGCAAATGCTCACAAATCAATAATTTTCATAATTGAACCAGTTTTCGTAGGACTTTAATGATTTAGTATGTAACTTTCCTCAAGGCAAAATACAAATACCAATTAGTTTTTTTCCTTTATGGTCTTCATATTTTTATATCTCAGTCATCTTATCAAACTTTAAATATTTAATGCTTGTAATCTCAAATTCGATACATAATTATTAAGTATAATAGTGACAATCAAATATTACTATTATGTCAAACAACGATTTAGCTTTAGTAATGCATAAGCAATTATTTTTCTCTTATTTCACAATGAACGGTCAACATCTTTACACGGTCCAAGTTATAAATAAATGAAATATCTCAGCACCTTGTTTGCAAATCGAACCACTCCTAGGATGTTAACATGTTCATAAATGCATTAAAATAAATGACTACAATCTTATTTAAACAGTTTCCATTTGACGTCCCATATAAATCAACAGGTGAAACCTTTTGATGTTCGGTAATAGCAAAATTGTGTCTAACATTTACATGCGTTCAATAATGGCTATTTTATACTGTTCATATAGAGAAAGCACATCGCATAAAGTTTTCAATGAAAATCGCTTTAGGAGAATATAATATCAACCTTTACAGTTCGACATTTACGTTGTGCTAGGAGAAGTCTTTATATGAGAATATTTTATTATTTTTGTTCAATAAACTTTCATTGCTATCTTTTACAATAGGAATGTTAATTGCAAATGGTATTTGTATCGGTAACGTATTCTGTCAATTTTATTATTATTTTATGTGTATAAGAGTTGATTTCATGACTTGATGACTATATAAATACTATTGTACTGCAAACTGCAATAAGTGTTTATACGTTGTCAATAGTTTTGTCAAAATTCTATATGGAAAGGATAGTCTGAAAGTTGATTCTGATCTAAATCTTGTTCAATTAAAGCAATAAATATAATTTTAATTCTATGCACTCGTTTAGTTGTAACAAATTCAATTTAATTTTTTTCATGTCATCAAGGATCAGATCGGAATCAGCCTCCAGTCTCAGCCTATTTTGACAACCTATTAATATACATCATTGACAAAGATTTCATATTACATGTCATTAAATGTTAAAAAGAATTTTAATTAGAGAGTTCAGGTTCAATACCCGCCTCGCACAGCTTGATGTCATGCAGTCAATTTTTACTTGAAAATATATATAGTAATATATGGTAATGTATTTTCAAGCAAAGCATTTTGGAAAATTGCTGCATCAATAAGAGAGATAGAACAATCGTCCAATATCTATAAAGTGTCTATATCAATAAGTGCTTATTGTTCTAAAATAAGAATACGTACTTCACCAATATATCGATTCATCAATTCTCATTTTGATACGAATATTCAGCATTATTTGGCAGATCGTCTCACAAAACTGACGAACAATAGTCCTCATTGAGATACATCAAATGGCTTTTAAATTTCTGAAATCAGTTCAGACGTTTTTGAGAAAACGTCGATTTACTGTAAAAAATCTTTTCACATACACGCAACACACATACTTTTTCCAAATTTGGTCTCATTCGATTCAGAATGGCTTGAAACATTGAGAAAAGATAAAATTAGCGAAGCCGATTTTTATGGAACTTTTTGGCGATATATATCATGGTCTTATAGAACTTACTGAAATATTACGGCTTTACGGCTAGTAGTTTAATTTTAAAAATTCATTAAATTTTGAAATGAGTTGACGTTTGTTACAATTAAAATTAGACGATTTATTTGGTATAACGATAGAGTACTTGGTCTTAATGAACAATCGTCTTATTTTTTTTCAACTACAAGAAAAACGGCCCGGCCAATCTTTACCAAAAACTAATCAGCTCGATTCCCAACCAGTATCATTCGAACGGTTTTTGAATTTTCAAAATCGATTTAAAATAGCGGGCTAAAACGTGGAAGAACAAATTTTCACTTTTCTGCTATTTATAAAGAAACGGCTTGGCTGATCGTCGCACAAAATTGACAAACGCTAGTCCTCATCGAGATACATCGAATGGATTTAAAAATTTTGAAATCGATCCAGTCGTTTTTGAGACAACGTCGATTTACGGCATAAAATCTCACATACATGCATACACACACACATACTTGTTCCAAATTTGGTCTCATTCGATTCAGAATGGCTTGAAACGCCGAGAAAACATATGGTTTGCAAACAGGATTTCTTAATGAAAACATAAACTTATCCTTCGGAAAGTTAAAAAGTTCTCGTTTAGTGTAGTAAAATTTAGAATGAAATAAGTATATACAAAAACCTAGTATTTATTGATAACTCATCATAAGTGAAACAACAATTTATTTATCCAAAGCCGTGTTCGGTTTAGCAGCAATCACACATTCTTCACCACAAGCTTTGAGAACAGTACAAAGCAGTTCTTTGCCAGCTTCGAAATCGCTCCTGATACATTGACCAAGTTCACCTTCTGGAACTTTGAGATCTTCTCGAAGATCTCCATTGTCAGCCATCAAGGATAAGTATCCTTCATCGATGTCTGTCAACTGATAATCCAGACGGGTAACCCGCGGCACATCCATGTTGTGAGTAGATGGACAGATGTCCTCGTACTTTTTGCCAGTGAAGATATCGATGCCGACTAAATGCACCTTTGGTAAAAGACAACTTGGTAATCGATTATTGATAATGTGAGAAGATAATGTCAGGAGATGATGATCATTAATAGGTGGGTACAAATTTCCTTATTGGTGTGACAAAAATTGATTATTCTTGCTGCATGTCTACTAAGGACACTTGGCAAAAAAATGGAAGTTAAAAATGAAAGATGTAAAACAAATTTTCAAGAACTGCACACTTCGAACAGATCGATGATGATAAAATGTATGATAATAATATTTCTAAAAACTATCTCATATTTTTTAAAACAACAAGAAAAATACAGAAAAGGTCGGACGCCATGGACGAGCTTTAAGCTTTCCTACACTTTGATATTGAATGGTAAGGATCAGAAATAAGCCTTGTCTTTCACTACAAGCATTATTACCTTAGCATGGCCATGTTTCCCCGTTTTTGAGGTGGACATTTCAACAATTTTGCAGGGCCTAGATTTCAACATGACATAACCATTCTTTCTCAAAGCCGAACATTGCATAGGAAAAGTCTCGGAAGCTCCAGCATCCCCAGTTTCAAATTGAGTATCATCTATATCAGCCATTGTTAAAAAGATTAAATAAAAAAGCAGATAATCTTCTGTAGCTAAAATTGATATTACGAAATGAAAACTTTAAAATTTTTGTTCTCTTGATTAAATTTAATACTAGAATGACGTTTAGTGTTTTGTTTCTGTGAAGGTACAGAATTATGAGTTTGACGTTTGATCAAACAAAACCAAGTCATTTTGTAAAATCAGGCAATACGAAATTATTTTAAATACACATATGGATTTTAAGGTTTTTATTTATTCATTATTGAACTATTAAGTATTTTATCATTATACAATGTTCACTTTTGTACAATTTTTTTTAAAAGAAGAACTTTTTCAAGTCGACCTATTCTAAGGATTTTAAATTTTTTACAAAAAGTCTTAGTTTATGGAGCAAATATGTCATTATTTTTGATCAGGGTCCTAAAATATTATTTATTGTTGTGGATCTAAATTTTAAATGAACAAAAACAGTCACAGAGTTACCAAAGCTCTAGGTTGCACTTAAAAGCTCATAGTTTTCAAACTAAATAGAATTCATTTTTTAATTTTTTTTCGACGCAGTCACGATCAATACTAACACCCTCTTTCGGCTTGACGTTGAGTTCTGAGACACCATGTATATATACAAATATAGATAGAATCATAAATATAAAGTTTATTCCGAACTATAAGTTCACAAAGATGCTTTTATAACTATAAATTGTTAAAAATAAACTATTTTTAAATTATTTATTTATTGTGTAATTAAATAAATTTTTTTAGTATTGCGTAATTTAGTCAAAGTTTAGATGTTAACAATAAAATAAACTTTGGTCATAAATTTATATTTTTTCTCATTAATTTAGTACTTGCCAATATTAAGAAATATCAATTTTTTTATTATTTAATATTTCGTACATTTTGCAAAACTGCAATAAGTCATAATAAACTTAACATATACTTATAGAATTATTGCTCTATGTTATTGTTATTGAACCAATATAATATTTTTTTATTATCATTTCTTTTATTAATTACAATCTGTCTTATACAATAAAAGACATTCAATAATTTTGGGGATATATGGATAATTAAAATCTATTTTAAGATTACTCCTTAGTAATCCTTTTAAACATTAATGAATAAGAAAAATTAATTTGCCAATATAATATTTTGATAATTTAGTTATATGACGACCACATTAGAAATGTATTGTAAAATATGTTTTGAGTATTTTAAATTGTTGTTTGAAAGTATAAATTAAAAAAAAATGTGTTGAATGAAAGTGTGTTAATTAGGCAGATGATACGAAGAATATTCAGAGATTTAAAGCAGAGACCATAATATTTAAAATATCAATTTTAAAAAATATTTTTTTTATTTATTAAGGGAATATGAATTACAGTTTTAATGCATCTTTAATACTTTAATAATTTTGAGATTTTTGTTTGATCAACTTTTATAAATTTTTTTCTACGTTTATGGTTCATAACCAAACAACAATGAAATAATTCATTTAAGATCAATATTTGACCAAGAGAAATCAGTACTGTAAATAATTTTTTCGCGATTAAGTAATGCTTTACATAAACTATTTTTATGCGTTTGAACAATTTACAATCAAAAATTAATTTCACGCATAAAAAAATAATAAAATAAAACTTTCTCGGTATGTGCACGTACAGTTTACATTTTGATTAGTGACCGGTGAAAGCAGTTGGCCCCGGGTTCACGAAAACGACTTCTCCGGAGTCAAACGACATTCGATACCTGATTATCATCATTGGTGGATTATAAATAATGGTGTATAATGATTATAGTTTGTTTTGAAAAAAAAAATATTAATTTCAAGAGACTTCTAGAGAATGAGAAACATGGGACGCTGTGTACACTTTCACTATTCTCTAAAGAACACGGGTAATTTCACTATGTCGCTGCGAAAAGTAAACACAAATACACATTTGAGTGATTATGTGTGAGCAAATGATAATTTTCTTATTGTATAAAAGTATATACATATATATATATATATATATATATATATATATATATATATATATCTGTATGTACGAGTATATGTTTGATTATATGTGCATGTATATTTTTATATGCTTCTGTTAGGAGCATCGGATGTACATATGAAAGTGCAGTGTGATTTTTCAAATAATGCTGGAACAGCAAAATTATCATTTATAATGAAAGTCTCAAAGTTTCAAAAAATGTTAATGATAATTTCTACAAGACATGGGTAAAACGTAGAACCAAAACAAACTAGTGGTGTATAGCATCGCCTTAAGGATAATTGCTGGAACTTCCCGCACTGTAACAAAATATTCGAGAAATATCTTGAAATTTTTCAAATGTTATTTCATTCATTCGAATCGGATAGAAACAGAAAACCGCTGCTGACATATTGCTTTGTATCTTAGAAACGGCTGGACCGATATTGCCCAAAAGCCAATCAGCATATCTTCCTATTAATAGCAATCGATTGCTTTCCTACCCTAAGGGAAGCTAAAAGTAGTGTCAAATAACTAATAGAACAGAATATTATGCATTTTAATTTGTACTATAGAATGGTATGTTTTTTAAAAATAGAGATAGCATTCAGAAAGTTATCCATGTTGTTAACGGCTTTTTCAAAAATTAAGTAGTACAGTTTTTTGTAAAAGTGAAAATGTCCAAGATTTGGTATGAAATGTAGGTAATGTCAATATTGGTTTTTTCTTCTTATTTAATGTCTCATTTGTCTTAATTTATTGTCTCAGTGTCATTTATTTCATAATAAATATCAACATACGACTTCTGGAATTCGTAAATATGCAAATGTCCAGTATTTTATATATATTTTCCATTTATCATGCACTAACAAGCACTATGTGACTCTTAACAAAAAAAAAACAGTCGATGCAAGATTTGCATCTGCATGTTCAAGCTTCATTTTTGTGTTCTATACATTTAACGATGTATTTTAAAATTTACCATTTTCCAATTTAACAGACAACATTTTCAATGGTAAATTATAGTTCTAATTATACATTATCTACTTACTATAATTACCAATGATATGTTTGACGGGAACTTGTCTATTAGAGAAATAAGATACGAAAATTCTAGAGAAAGTTTGAAGATGATGCATGAACAGGAGGTAATTGAGAAGATTTATAAGCTATTAGTTTGATGTAATAATAATTGACAATACTTTACTGTGAAAATTACAGGATGTCGTTTGGTTTGTCACATAATTATAGACTTTATTAATAGATGCTTTCTTTGGCAATCATCCAAGAAGTCACAAATAAATGATTCCCTTACGCTTCATCGTGTATCATTCCTATTAAAACTATAGTTCCTCATCTGTTTAGCTATTTTTTATGTATTTTCCTTACCAAATATTAGATAGAAACATAATTTGGAAAGTGTGTATATATATATATATATATATATATATATTATAATAATTATTGTATTTTGTTTTATATTCAATTACTATATCAATAGGTATATACTTTGAAAAACAAAATTTAAACTTTGTGATATTTATAGAAAATATATTTATTGAATTTTACTTTTCATATAGGTACTTTGGTTTCATGAATTATTGACCTCCAAGCTTACAATTTTTAATATTTCTTATTAGGAAGAAAGAAAATAGAAATGTATAAATATAATAAAACAATACCAAAGAAATTGCATATAAACAATCCTATAAAATCTTATAATAAAATGTTGTATAATCATAAATATTCTTTCCTATATTTTATTATCGCAGTAATAAAATTATGAAAAAAAGTATATGTTCCTTCAACAATCAGGAAGTGGTAAAGATCTATAGAGACATTATTTTTTCAACTTAAATCTTTTATTATTACATTATTGAACTTTCTGCCATTTCTTTCTGTGTCACTTCCCTATCATTTTATTTCTATTATATATAAAAGACACTGTAGAAAATAAGCTGCGGTTTTCATAATACGGCATGGCGCTATTAAAGAAATTTTCTAGCATACCTATAATTATTTGTCATTAAATATATATATATATATATATATATATATATATATATAATGGCAATTGTTTAAAATAATGATTGCTTTCAAAACACGTCGATAGCAAACGCATGTATTGTCTGCCGTAGAGAAATATTTCAAGTTAGCCTTGAACACCTGTGCGTTCTGTGAACTTTAGATTTTGCGACCGGTCACTTGTTCATCTAAGTAAATCTAAACAACTTTTTAAATTATAAATTGTTCTCGGAAGTCAATTATTAAATAAAACTTCGATAAAGTAAATATCCCCACTTATATATATATATATATATATATATATATATATATATATGTAGTCCTTAATATGGACATTTTCGAATTTCCTTGCTCCCAAGGGCTCAAATGGTTCCAATTTGATAAACAATTCTCTGAATGTTTTAGCTCCTAATATTAATTTTTAGATAGTGCGCAATTCAATCAAACTTCATATGGAAATAGAATGGAAAAAAATTTGAAAATTAAAAAAAATGTTATGTATAACTTAGCGGCATATGAATTAAAAGTGAAAATTCGTGTCATTTATTATTTTATTTATTAAAAATTCGACGCTCTGCAAAATTTTTGAAAATTTTTTCATGCTATTTCTATACATAACTTTGATTGAACTGCGCTCTATCTAAATGATAATATTAAGAGCTAAAACATTTAGACAATTGTTTTTTATCAATTTGGAACCTTTAGAAAATATATGTGGAATAATTGTTATGCTTCTTCATATTTATTTGATAATTTGTAATTAGCATGAATAATTTCTCAACTTTAATTATTTAGCATTTGTTCAATAAATGAGATAACAATTTCTCGCATAAAAGAGGACAACACTTTCAATTTTTTGCAAAAAAATATTCAGCACTAAGTATATTTCATGTAAAGTTCTCACTCCAAAACTTTTGCAATTTGATGGATTGAGGTTGGGTCAAATAATCAAAACTTTTTTAAAAACTAATTCGACCAGTCAACCGTACAAGCAAAATGTTAATG